ACATTCAAAACCTTAATAATAGGATCAACATTTTAATAAAATGCAGAGACATTAACAAATGTAAAGATAAAATGGCTTCTGCTCAGTAATCTCTTCCTTTTTAATCACATTTTGTCGGTGGTGTTACACATATTGAATTGGAGCCACTCACAGGCCTGCAGCTAGTTTTTAGAGGCTGGACGGTGCATGGGAGGCGACCACTCATCTTTCCCCAGCAGAGCACCTGGGGAATGTGTATTCTGGCCTTGGCAGTGCAACAGGCCACCAGCGACCTCTGATCAGGTTTTGTCATGGGAGAAATGATAATGAGCACGAATATCAAGGTTGTAAGTGGGAAGCCACTCACAACCACAAGGCATTCCTAACAGTACTGGGGACAGAGCAGGTGAGCTCTCTGGGGGCGGAATGATTCCAACTCGTTTCTTTATTTGTAAGAGAGTACAATCACCGTGCCTAAAGCATACTTGATAAATAGATGGTGAATCAATCATCATTTCCCTTCCCAACAGTGTAACATAGAGTTTTATACCACATGATATTAAAAAGCTATGCGAATAAAGTACAATTTAATCTATACTTTCTGTATTTATGTAAAAGTATCTTAACATGTCAAGTGACACAAAATGGTTAAAACGTAGCCATAATCTTTTAATTACAGTTTAAAAAAAGAACTTAAAACATTCCTTCTTTTTGTCAAAATACTATTAGGCAGTCCAGCAGGAGGCAAAGGGGAACTGGGTGGTGACGGGTCAGGAGACTGGTTACATATGTGGACTTGTACAAATAAAAACATATTGAGGTTTTGGGAGGCAGGTTTCTGTTGGGAGTAACTGATTTGGAAAAAGCAGTATCCTATCAGGAGGGTCTTGAAGAGTGATACCTGAGCTTATCTAACACCTATATTCAGGTTTGTAGGGTCCAATCTCCATCAAAAGAATCATATTGGCAAGACGCCACACTGCAATCCCAGAGGCGCGTGTTTCAAATCCACCAGATGCTCTGCTGGAGGAGGAGGGGCAATCTCTTGTACCAGTCAGATTGATTTGATGGTACACACACTCAGAAAAGAATAAATGTTTTAAAAAATGGACTGCATAAAAATGAAAGAGTTATTCTTTTATTTTTCAAGGAGAAGAGTGAATTTGGGGGAGGGGATGGGAAGGGAGAAAAGTGCAACAATGAAAGACTGGAAACTGGAAACCCTAAGTCTCTGTAAACTTTCATTAGAATTTAAAAAAAAAACAAAACCCGAAAAGAAAAAAAAAAGAATCAAGACTCTTTTTAGAAAATATGGCTATTTTCCAGGGAATGCAGAAGATGGGTCTGAAAGTAAAAGTGCTCCAAGAGTTAATGACAGCTTGTCAAAAGGCTGAGATGTCAGGGAAGCAGCTCCCACTGGCCAAAACTGAGACAAGGAAGTGATAATAAAACTGGATTTTATCTCAGGGAACAAATCAAATTCCCAAGTCTACTGTGAGGCAAATAAACATACATATGAAGAAAAAGCTCTTCTTTTAAGTAAAATGACAATAATACACAGTGAGGACCTAGAAATTAACTACAAGGTAACCATCAATGTAATAATTCAAGTCAGAAAGCTAAAAGCAGAATGTCAAAGCTGGATAAGGGAGCTCTGGTGGCCCTGAGGTAAGAAGCTGCACTGTAATCCCAAAGGCAGGAGGTTCAAATCCACCAGCTGTACCATGAGAGGAAGATGGGCAATCTCCACCTGTGCGATTTACTGCCCCTAAACCCTGCTGGAGTGTCAGCTATGAGTCAGCTCTGACTCAATGCATACAACAACAAAAAGGCTGGATGAGTAGGGTATTACGTAGTCTCAAAATATTTCCGCTACAGAATACTTGTAAGAGGAGCTCTGGTGGCACAGTGTGTTATGCTGTGCTGACTGAAAGGTCAGGAGTTCACATGCACTGCCTCTTGTGGCATGAAGACAGGGTGTCTCCTCCTATAGAGGTTTGCAACCTTAGACCTGATGAAAGGTCACTTTGAGTCAGAACTGTTATGACAGCAGCAGGTTTTATTAAAGGGGGAATAAGTAACCTTACAGATGTGCAGCCTACTCAGAAACAAAAGGATAAAGCAACAGCAGAGGCTTCCTCATCAGATGTCACTGTGCTATCCTTGCCCAGGATGCACCCTCTGAATCGAAGTATGAGGAAGCATCAGACAATGCAACGGAGGGATTTCTAAAAAAAAAAAGTAAAACTATGCTGGTATGGTTTTGGGAAGAACACTGTTCTAAGTGTTAGTAACACTGGTCTGTCAGTTTGCTGTACTGAGATAACTTGGGGTTTCTGTGACACTAAATGCTGTGGTACTGGTGTGTCAAACGTCGTTAAGGGTTATGCACGGTGGGCAGAGTTTGGCAGAGCTCCTAGATTAAGACAGGCTTAGAAGCAGGACAGGCATTCACTTCTTAAACGATAGGCCTTTGGAAACTATGAACATTAGAGAAATGAACAGGGTTCAGATCTTTCGTTCAGGAGGTTGCTATGAGTCATACTCGACAGCACCTAACAACAAAAGCAGCAGCAACAGCAAGTTTTTAAAGATACTAAGGTTTAAAAAATCAAGAAGAGCTGAGTCCAGCTCTGGACAGAAAAGGACCCATGAACACTGAGAAACACGACTACTAAGATGCAAGTTTCAAATGATTTCAAAACGAATAAAACTCACAAGTAACCTTTGTTCAAAAACTTTTATTTACTATAAAGACAAAACACCAAAATAGGTACAAATACTATAAAATTGGTTCAATGGGGTAAAAATTTTAATTAAAATATCTTGATATATTTAAAATAACAAAGGATACATTTAAGCCAAATTTTCTTAACCCAGAGATTTTTTTTTGTAACATTTGCTTACACAAGTAAGGTGCTAATAGAAGTTAGCCCTTAAGCCCTGGAAGTCTTAGGAATCATAGTCACACAGCAAGAAATAATTTCATTGTGAAAGTGAACTTTGGTAGAAGAAAAATCTATAGGACACCTGAGGTAGTAGAAACTGGAATAAACAGCAGTAGACGTTATTTACAACTTGAGTACCAAATAACATTAAGAACACAAAAATAATTACACAATACAATTTTCAGTCCAGCTTTGATCCAAAGAAAATAAGATTACATCACATTTGCATTGAAAAAAACAAAACAAAACAAAACACCACAATTACCAGCAAGCTGAGGGAACTGCAAACTCAAACACAATGGATTTTGACATTTGACATCTACAGGCTGTTTGAGTTTGAAATGTGGTGGGCATGGTGATCTACAAAGTAATACTGATTAGCTGAGGTTCCTCAGTTTATACAGTTTACATTTCTATCAGACAGTATTCATCTGAGGAATGATCTTCCAGTACACAAAATGGCAAGAGTGCATCCTTTAAAGCTTGCACATGAGAGACTTGGAAACAATCTTATTAGGACTGTGGAAATTCTAAGTAGTAAAAAAGAGAAGTCAAGTACAACACATTTAGAGCTACCAAACTTCACATTTCGGTACTATGTTTCTTTTAACTCTTCAAATATTGCCAATCTTTAAGAACAAAGGAATGTAAAATTTCACTACATTCACATAAAAGCAAAACAAAAAACCCCTCAAAAACAAAATAACTGTCTTTTTAAAATTATAAGCAATATATCCCTGTAAACTTATCTTGTTAACTTATTTTACTTCCAATTTGTGCTGTACATTTTAAATGTACTCATATAGCTTATTTAGTTGATCCTGAGTCTTTGAGAATAACCAATTCTTTTTCACTCTGCAACAATTCCACTGGCTTCTGAAGAGTTAAAATGTAACATCATAAAAAGTTGTATTAAATACTTAATCAGTACTTGATTTAAAAGACTCACAAAAAAAAGGGGGTGAAAGAGCTGCCATTTTCCTTCAGGATTCCATGCATCTGAAATTCAACTCCAGATTAAAACCATTAAATAACTGCAAAATCCAAGGAAACAGTGTGGAAACGAGTTCAGGTTCACTTCTCTTTCTTAGCACATTTTCCAACCTTAAAAGAAAATTTTTGCTTAAAAACATCCTTCCTCATTGTGAACTCAGAATGAGTAACTGAGTGAATTTTCCTTTGATAATCTATAGGCCAGGCCTATCTATCGCGAGGTGATGCGTGGAGAAGGAAAACAGCAGGTTTTAACCACAGCAGTGACGGCGACAGGTGAGTTATTTCACACAGAGGGTGATTTAAACCTGTTTTATGATGTGAAGTTTCCTACAGTTTGACAACAAAATACATTTAAAGGTAAAAGTTCAAACAAATCGGTAGCAATCTTGATCTTGGTTGTGAGCTGCATCAGAAAAGAGCTGATTTTCACTCAATTTATACCTAACCTGCACAATACGAGCAGTGACTGACTCAATGAAGGTAGTATTTTGTAATATTCCAATTACGAGACCTGTATTTAAAAATTCTTGCTATAGTAAAGGTTATTTCCTGAACTCTAGTTTTTGTTTTTTCTGGTTTGAATAAGATCACCTTTCCCTGAATATTAAACAAAAATGAAGGCATAATGAAAATACAGAACCATAATTTCCAAAAACGAAATGAATGGGCCAACAGTAAAATGCACAATGAACCACACAACTGCGCAGGCATTTAAAAAACAGGTCAACTGTGGGTCATACAGAAGTAATCAACTTTAAAATATATAGATATATATATATTTTTTAAACTGCTATTCATAGCATAGTCTGACCTAAAAGAGGCAGATAATGATTTTTATAGCCAGTGACAAAGAAAAAAAATGAACGGAATCGCAGAAACCCCTGCTCCTGATCACGATATGAAATGGAAGAGTACTTGAAACATTAAGATAGACCCTGAGCCCCTCAGCCGCTAATATTGCTGAAAAAGTGCTCCAAAAAAATAATAATAATAAAATGCTGCTTCCGGTATTTAGTCATGCAAACTTCACTACTCTCCTGCTCCCCTGGGGCCAGTTCTTGGAAAGGCACGGCTTCCAGTTTCTGCACAGCTGTGGACTTTTGCACACTGAGCTTAGGTACAGGTCATGATTTGTCAATCACATACTTAGGTAAAGGTTCCCCACTGGCCGTGTTCACAGCTGGTTCAGCGGCATGAAGGCCAGCAGATTATCAATGTGGTTCCCCACAAAAGTTTGTAATTCTCTTGTTGGGCATCCTGTCTCCGTGACAGTTCACCTGTATAAATGGCTACCACGTAGTACGGAAGACTGGATGCTTCAGTAGCTCTCTTGATGGAGGTCTGTCCTGAGGTTGAAGTTCTAAACAACGAAGAGCCACATCTCGTAAACCAGGAGACAGATGTGAAGGAATCGATGGGGCAGTAGTTGCACTAGCAATCTGAAGAAGAGAAACAGGAGTTGGAAATGCACCACAGATGGGATTTCTGATAGTTATGATGTATTTCATAGCTTTATACATTCATCAGCTGAAGAAAAGAATTCAAGTAGTTGTGGTAAACTTTCTGCTACTAAGCAGTCTTTTTCAGAATCCTTAAAATTGTATAATTTGCTCAAATACATTCTGCTTAGATCGATTCTACAGTTTTGGGTTTTGTGTTTTTTTTTTTTTTAGTGTCTCAAATGCATACAGCCAAGTGCATTAAGGCTATCAGGCTTTTACTGAAATGAATTCTACTTTCCTTAAAATCAGTCTTTAAGGCTTTTCTTATTTGCCTCAATTCATGGTTTGTTGTTTTTTATGTTTTGGGGTTTTTTTAAAAGTTTTTCAGCATAGAAAACTATTCAGAGTAATAACAAAAGAAAAACTAAACCTGGCCAATTTACTGTTTTTGTTATGTGCAACTGTGTCAGAATCGACTTGTGGTTGACCCTCCAGTGGTTTTTCAGAGGCAGTACATTTCATGAAAGGAGACTTCCCATCTTTCTCTCACAGAGGGACTGGTGGATTTGAACTGTGTGTATGTTGGTTGGCGGCACGATTCTTTACCATTAGGACATCAGAGCTCCCAGTCAATGTAGTACACCAGAAACACAACTGCACTGATTATTTTTCTTCAATGATGGATACTTATTTGTCACATCAAACACACTAGAAAGAACTAACCTTTTAATAAACAAGTGAAGAATAAATCTAAGCAATTTAAACTGAAAGTCACC